ATTAAAGATTTAACTCAAGTTTTTATAAATATATTATGTATTATTAAGTATATTTTGTTTTTAAAAAGTTGTTAATTAAAAATATAAACTTTAAATAGCTTTTTAAAAACTACCAAAACTGTTTAGTTTTTGTTGTAGCTGTTATTTTACAGTTTTTTCAATATGTTTTTTAATGAAATTCTTTTTAAAAAAACTTTAAAAATATTTTAACACTTTTAAAAAATCTTTAACTATGAACATTTTTACTTTTAAGACACTAACAAAAATATAACAATGAATGGATATTTTTTGTTGCTTTTTTTATTATTGCTAAATTATGTAACACTTATTAAAGCTATATTTTATTTTAAATGCACTAGACTTTTTTACTATTTTTGTTCAAGTAAAATACGACTCAACATGAAAAACATTAAACTCTGCTGTTTAAAAAAATAATAATTGTAAATTTGCTCCACCATTCATACTATAAAATTCATACTATAAAAGATTCATACTATAAAAGCAATCTGGGGAGCTTTAGTATATATACTATTTTATTTATTATTATTCTACTATGTTCAAGTTTGTTGACACCAGTACACCTTTAGTTAAAATTTGTAATTATTTCTCAATAATCACTTATTGATTTGGCATTAATTATTTTTAACTATACTTTAAGTGAAAAACGATGTCTTGATAGAGTTTTTAGCTAAATCCTTTCTCAATTATTAATTCTAGTACATGATGGCAAATATAGGTTTCATATTTATAAAGCACATTTTAAATTTGGCTAAACCAGTAATGTGTATAACAACTCGTTAATGATTTATCTGAGTGTATTTAATGGTGAATGATCTTTCTATATTTTATTTTTATACATGCATACATATATATTCTGTATTAAGATGTATGCACACATACATTGCATTTCTGATGTCTTTATTGATGAAACACTGTGTGAAATTAAAAATGTTGGATAAGTTTATTTTTAGTTAATCATTATTGCTCTGTTCTTTTAAGAACATACATACATACATACATACAAACATAAATACATACAAACATACATACACACATACATATATATATAATATATGTCAATATCATACTTTCAACGATATTGACATTTTGGTAAAATAGTAACAAAAGAGCAAACAAATGTTTGTTAAAAAAAATTCTTTTATTAAATCTATTAACATGATTTATTAGATTTAATACATTTAATGTATTTTTCAAATCTGTAAATGTAAGAGATTTTTATTTTGAAATTTTTTGTTACTTTTTTAAATTATCATATTTACAAGTGCAAATAATAACATGAGAGTTGTTAAGTCAATAACTGCTGCCTATTAAATAACTAGCCCTTTTAGTCACATTTTTTAAGTATGTTTTAATGGTTTACTTATAGATATTTATATGCATATTTATTACTTTTTAATAGAATTTAGTTACATATTCTTAACTATAAAACAGTATATATAAGAAGAGTAAAATATAAAATTATATCTATAAATGGAAATATTTGTGATACTTATGCTAACACTTTGCTGACAATATAAATCTATTTCATCTCAAGAAAGCTATTTTGAAAATGACCAATAATGTCAATTATGATCTTAATAGTACTTAACTGATAATTTTCAAACTAAGATATAATATTATAGTCATTATTTTAAATTAAATGGTGATAAAACTCTCAAAGAAAGGTTACCAACTATCTGGAACCACTTTAGAAATAATTCATCACTTAAACTAAACAAATCTGCTACTATTTTATCTAAACTAAAGTATTACTTTTATTTCCATAAAAGTAATACTTTAGTTTAGATAAAATTAGTATTACTTTTATGGAAAAAACTTTGAATCCTATTTATTTTGCTTTAATTAACTCTCAACTAACATATTGGTGTTCATCTTGGGGATAAAAGTCATCCATTTTAAACAGCTTTATACTATTTAAAGGAGCTGCAACTTAAATTAAAAATGTTGTTTTAAAATGGATGACTTTTGTCTCCAAAATGAACTATGCGATAATGATTAATTAATGTTCTACCAGATAAAACGCACTAAGAATATGTTCGAAGACCTTAAAAGCCTACTTTTTTAAATAAAATTGAAAACTTTTTTTTAGTTTAAAAATTTTTATATATAGCTGTCTAAACAAACTTCATACAAAATCTACAAAATAGGCATATTAGGATGGATGAATTGCTTCATCTTTTAATACTCAATTTTATGGCTTTTGCACTCTGCGATTAATGACTGAAATTTTTTACAAACCAAATTTAGTTTTCGTTATTGTATGAGCTAACAAAATAGAAAACTAACATAATTACCATTTGAAAAATATACAAAATTAGAGACTACAATTTTATTAGTTGTTGTTAATATATATAAAAGATATATAAAATATATCTTTATGCTACAATTTCAGTTTTTTGCTAAGATATTTAATAATCTTATTTTTTGCCTAAATGAGTGTGTTTCTTAGTGCTTGTGATCATTCTCCTTGTTTTAGTCAAGCTATATCAGAAGGAACCATCTAGTTTAAATACTATTTTATTTTTAATGCTTTCTTTTATGTGACTATAGTATTTTTTCTGGAAAATATACTATTGTTTGTTTGTTAACCCATCAGAACATTTTATAACTATATATACACTGTATAGACTATAAGTCTAACCTAATCTAAAAAGTGATAGTATAACATTTAAAATTAAAATATTTTTATAAAATAACTTTTTCTAAAGAAAATAAGCTATCCAGTTTTATAAATAGAAATTAAAAAGAGAATAGATGTAATATGCAGTGATTATGTGAAAACTGCAAGTAGTGAAAAATTTAAATAAACTTTACAGAAACCATAATATTGACCTCTATCGTGTAACTAAATTTAATAAAACATACAATCACTATAGGTAGCTAAATATTAAATCATTTAGTAATATTATGTAAAACTGTCAGTGTTTATTAAAACATTTGATTTCATGCTACAAGTTCTATGTAAACTACATATTGAATTTAAACTCGTTTAATTAAACAAAATAAATATTGCTGAAGTCAAAAATAATTTAATCATGAAACGCAGTTAACAATGTTGTAAAAGACCGAAGTTACCTTAAGTGTCACACACTAGCACAATATGTAATGATCCATAAGCATTAGTATTTATATTTTAAACTTCGTAGTTCACCGCTTTTTGTAAATTTGGCCAATCAATTTAAAAAAGTTTTAAATCTAACCAATCAAATTTTTAAAATATGTGATTTTTTACCTCGCTTATTGCAACAAAAATAAAAAAATATGTTTTAAAAAAAATATTAATATTATGATATTTATAATACCATTAAATTTTTTTTGCTTGCATTTTTAATTTTTTATCTTAAGATATTTTTTTTCTATAAAATTGTTCAAACAACATAATTGCTATGCTTAAAATTTTATAAGTTTATATCGCAAGTCTGAGGTCTTTTAAATATTACTGTTGACGTTTTACAGAAAAGTTTTGCAAAAGCGGTTTATAATGGTTGTATCTAATATACGGGCGCGGATCTAGCATTTTTTTTAAAACATATTTTTTTATTTTGGTGTTTGAGATAACTTTTATGTTTATACTTATGTCAAACAAGAATGCTTCGCAAAAATTGCGAAGATTAAAACCTGCAACAAAAAAGCCCCAATATTTGCGACGCCCCAGTCCCAAACGATAAAGCAACAATATTCGCTTTACTTTTCTTAACTAAATTTATTTATCTTTTATATTTGATTAGATTTTGTCATAATCGAATTAAAGTTCATTTTAAAAAAAAAACTTTAAATCGATTAAATATATAAAAGAAAAGCCAAACACAAGCACGGATTTTGGTATTCGGTTATGTAATACATTTGAAACACCATCTCAATTCAAACTTTCGTCATCTCGACCGCTAGAATCTATGCCAGTGCCACACAACCAACACCATTAACTACACCATCTTCAAGTACCTTCTGAATCTTCATTATACCAAAGAGTTATAATATAGCAGGAGTGAGAACGAAGTAAAAAAACATTTTAATGCTAAAAATACATTATTTTTGAAACGACTAATAATAAATTTTTAGATTAGAACTGAATTAAATAATGTCTAGATGAGATTTGGTCGTACTTTTTTCCGGGTTTACAAAATTGCGTTTTATATCCATAAATTTACAACATGGCACTTTGTTTTTAAATCCAGCAAAAATACTACAACACAAAGTTACTGTGTTATCTTTATATAAATGATCTATTTTTTACCTCAAACTTATTTAATTTTATTGACTTCAATCTATTTTAATCTCATAGGGATATTAAAACCCTCTTTAAAGTAATTAATTAAGAAGTGAACAAAGTAAACGATTGGTTTATTTGTAATAAACTCTCATTTAACGTTGACAAAACCAAGTCTATTTTATTCCACAAAACAACAAAAGCAGGAAACCTTCACTTAAAATTACTTTATTTTTAAATGATATAGATATTACTAGACAAACTTTTTAGGTGTTACTTTAGACGAAAATTTATTATGGAGGAATCACATAAGCACTCTTGAAAGAAAACTTTCGCAATGATGTATAAAGCAAAACCTTTTTAAATTTAGAACCTGTGGTGAAAAAAAAAGTCTTTTTTTTCACCACAGGTTCTAAATTTAATATACACGTGTTTAAGGATTCAACACGTGTAGCAACCCTCATTAGAATAATAAGGTTATTGCATAAATAATTAAATCCCAGTGTTGAAACAAATCATTCCAAACAATAAAAAAAAATATATTTTTGACAATATTAACATATAAATACAATCTAGCAAAAACATTATTTTTTGCATCGTTTTAATGTTTCTAATGGCACCCTCGATGTTGTTTGCATCATAACAAATTTTGTCACCATCAATAGTATCTAAAGAAATAATATTTATCAAAAAATTGTCTGACAATCATAAGGCATGTTTTATAAAATCAAAAATAAACAATTAATTTAAAAGCAAAGTTGAGAAACTTTTCTTTTGAATTTAATTGACAATAAGTCAACAAACTAAAAGATATCCACAATAAAAATTTATATTAAAATAATTGTTATCAGTTTTGAAAAGAAATACATAAAAAACCAATGAAAAACTATGAAAAACGACCGCAAATATATTTGCAAACAATAAATAGGAGAAAATGAGCATTGTAATATTGTTTCACGTTTTGCTATTTACTGTTAATAAAAATACTTCAGTCTTATATAAGATGCAATAGCTGCAAACTTGCATTCAATGCTTACCTTTTATGCATTTATAAGCAGTGCTTATAATTTTTTTTTTTACCTTTTCTTCCATCCTTGCTAAATGTCTGTATACCATGATAGCGTTCAAAACATTTTTAACTGTTTTCATTGGAATCACTCTTCCCACTTCTCTCAAATGAGTAACCTTAAAAATTATCAAAATAAATTAAAAGCATTATTAAATATTGAATCAAATTTAAATACCTTGAAGAGTCACAATAAATTGTGAGTAAATAAGTGACCTTTTCTTTACAAGTTTTTTATAAGCACTAAACTAAATAAACTTTTATATAGTTTAGAACTTATAAAAAAATATATAAACTTTCAGCTTTTAATTGAAAACTTAACTTAAACACCAACCCTGACAAACAAGGCCGCTGTGGTGAGATAAAAGTTGAACACGGTACTTTAAAGAACGTGGTGGGTATTTGGATTTTTTTGTTTAAAAAGCTAGCGCTCTGCCACAACACCACAACTATTACTATTATCACTACATTTATTATTATAATAACTAAAATTGGTAATTCTTACACACCCAGGCATCACTCTTCAGCAATAATTAAATTGGAATATATATTTTTATTGTCAAAGAGTGAAGATTAGAAGTTACCTTGCATTTTCTTGCATTTGAACTTGTTTTTAAAATATCTTCAATAGTATTGAATTTCTCAAATAAACTTATTGTTTCTTTTTTCCATATTGTCAACATTTAAACTAAAATCCACTTTGTTTGATGTTTTTAAGCCTATTAAAGATTTGGACTTGCAAATCTTGAATCCGCTGAAAATTTTTCTAATTTTTTTTTTTAATTTAAACAAAGCGTATTAAAATGCTAAACAAAAAATAAAATCAAAAAAATAAGCAATAAGCAAAAAGTAGGTATATGGATACATTTATGTATCTACAAGATACATGAATTATCTAAGATACATGAATGTACCAACATTAAAAAAACTTTTAATTTAAAGGAATTCTTTTTTTAGCAATTTTATAATCATGGTTCCATAGATGTTTGGCTTAAATAGCCTTGCTGTTTAAGCAATACAACTATGTTATGCTGTTTAATCCACACAACTAATAATAGCCTTGCTATTTAATCTCTTAATGAAAATGATATTGAAAATATTTATCAATAATATTTTTTACATGGAAATAAAAAAACAACAACAAAAAAACTCACGTTAATTAATCATCTTTTGAAGCAAAACTCCACCTCCACTAATTTTCCTAAACTTCTTAATGCATTTACAACTTTCCCTATCATCAATTATTTTACATCGTCAATTATTTTACTAGAATTAGAAGCTACAGGTAACAAAAAAATAATTAAACTTTCTCTTTTTCTTTAACTTCCAACTTGTTCGAACCTAAATTTATTACACATATACATACAAACATATATATATATATATATATATATATATATATATATATATATATATATATATATATATATATATATATATATATATATATATATATATATATATATATATATATATATATACATATATATATATACATATATATATATATATATATATATATATATATATATATATGTATACATATATATACATATATATACATATATATACATATATATACATATATATACATATATATACATATATATACATATATATATATATAAATATATATATATACACATATCCTTTGAGGAATTTGAACTTTCTTTTAAAAAGCTTAAATCTAATAAATCAGTTGTTCATGATGATATTTATTTCAATGTTATTATCGACTCGTATGAAGTCATTAAAGATATTCTATTTCAAATTTTAAAATGTTCAATAAAACAGGGTATTTTCCCCGACAATCTAAAAATAGCCATATTTTCACCAATATTTAAAGGGGGTGATGCAACCAATGTTTCAAATTATTGCCCAAATTCAATTTTGCCTGTTTTTTCTAAAATTTTAGAGAGAATTTTATACAATGTTATTTTCAATCATTTATCTTCAAATAATATACTGTATCAAAATCAATATGGATTTTAAAAAAGTAATTTAACCGAACACGCTAAACCCCAAACTACCCACAATATTGCTGAATCTTTTGAAAAATCTCAATATACGTTAGGTGTTTTCATAGATTTATTGAAAGCCTTTGATACCATTGACCACAAAATCCTATTTAAAAAAATAGAGTACTATGGAATTAGAGGAAATATTTTAATGATTCTTAAAAGTTATTTAAGCAACCGTAAACAGT